GAGAGAGAGAGTGAGTGAGAGAGTGTGTGTGTATTCTCCCTACAGCACTCCTTGGAGTAAAATGGTGGGTCAGATATTTAAAAAAATTTTAAAATAATAGAAGAAAACATGGGAGAAGTATTTTAATCTCAGAGTGGTGAAGGTATTTCTGAGTATATCAAAATCTAGAAGCTATAAAAGAAAATATTGATAAATTCAGCTACTTAAAAATAAAACTTCTGGGGCTGGCCTGTGGCTCACTCGGGAGAGTGCGGTGCTGGATAACACCAAGGCCACGGGTTCGGATCCCATATAGGGATGGCTGGTTAGCTCACTGGGAGAGTGCAGTGATGACAACACCAAGTCAAGGGTTAAGATCCCCTTACTGGTCATCTTTAAAAAAAATAAAAATAAAAATAAATAAATAAGTAAAACTTCTGCTGCTAAAAAGTCCCATAACCAAATTCAAAAGATTGATATCAAATTGGGAAAAATACTAGTAACGACACAAAGGACTACTTTCCTCAACATATAAAGAACTTCCATAAATAAGAAAAGCTCAACCTGGAAGAAAAATGGGTGAAGACTATGAGCAAGCAATTCATGGAAAAGGCGGTACAAATGACTCTTAAATCTGAAAAGATGCTCGGTCTTACTAACGACAGACTAAAACAAACAAAACAAACCTCACCGTTGTCACACTGCTTCCCATATCCCTGATTGATAGAGATGAACACATTTGATAATTCCTTGGTGATTGGTGAAACAGGAACCTTCGTGCATTGCTGGTGGGTAGTGATAACACCAAGGCCACGGGTTCGGATCCCATATAGGGATGGCTGGTTGGCTCACTGGGAGAGTGCAGTGCTGACAACACCAAGTCAAGGGTTAAGATCCCCTTACTGGTCATCTTTAAAAAAAATAAAAATAAAAATAAATAAATAAATAAAACTTCTGCTGCTAAAAAGTCCCATAACCAAATTCAAAAGATTGATATCAAATTGGGAAAAATACTAGTAACGACACAAAGGACTACTTTCCTCAACATATAAAGAACTTCCATAAATAAGAAAAGCTCAACCTGGAAGAAAAATGGGTGAAGACTATGAGCAAGCAATTCATGGAAAAGGCGGTACAAATGACTCTTAAATCTGAAAAGATGCTCGGTCTTACTAACGACAGACTAAAACAAACAAAACAAACCTCACCGTTGTCACACTGCTTCCCATATCCCTGATTGATAGAGATGAACACATTTGATAATTCCTTGGTGATTGGTGAAACAGGAACCTTCGTGCATTGCTGGTGGGTAGTGTCATTTGCAATAGCTGGCGAGATGAACACACATGTACCCTTCCTCCTACAGAAATTCCTTAAAGAGATACTTACACATAGGTGACACGCTCTGTGTACCTGGTGAACTTTCAAGAAACGACCAGAATGTCCTTCACTGGGGGCCTGGTTAAATTGTGGCATAGCCATATCATGGAACACTTTGTATGTCCTGATACGGAATGACCTCCAAGACCCAGTGAGCGAACCGGCCATCCCCACATGGGATCCGAACCCATGGCCTTGGTGTTATCAGCACCGCACTCTACCGAGTGAGCCACGGGCCGGCCCCAAATATAGGAATATTTAATACAGCAGTGTTCACACTAGCAAAAAACCAGAAAGATGGGGAATGTCTATCAACAGGGGAATAGTTAAGCAAGCTCTGATCTATCTATAATCCATATAACAGATTAAATCAGTAATGTGTCTGTGAGCGCTGATAATGGAAAGAAGTTTAAGATAACCACTAAGTGGGAAAAAGCCAGTGGTCATACAACACATATAATACAAGGTCATTTGTGTTGCTTTTTTCCTTTTTTGGTGACTGACCGGTAAGTGGATACAAACTCTTGACCTTGGTGTTATCAACAGCGTGCTTTCTCAAGTGAGCTAGACGGCCAGTCCATCTTTTTCTCTTTAATGAACTTGTATACACAAGATTCTTTCTAGGAAAGTGTACAAGAAGCTTTTGACTTGATCTTGGGAAAATGAATGGTATAAGATGTTGGTTTTGTTGTTTTGAGTAACTCTTAGGCTCTGCTTGAATGGTGTTTTTGTTTGTTTTTAATCGTTAGTTCTCTATATAGACTCTGGTTCTGGAAACAGCTCGCCTTTGAATGGTGCATGTTTTGCTGGGTACAGCTAGTTGCACTTTATTTCATTTGTTTCTGGTGTCCCTTTCTCTGTTCAGAAGAGACAAGGGGTGGCTTAGAGAGGTTTTAGCATCTTTCCCACCACCTCCATTAGCACTTCCCCCCAAAATATATATTCTAAGTGTAAAAGTGTGGCAATAGCCATCAAAAGTTCCCTGGCCACCAGGACTATGTCCTTGCAGCCTAACTCTGCTGCCTCCTGTATCAAAATTCTGAGACCACCACTAACTAGACTGTGGCTCCCCTGAAGTTCAAAGCCCTGACTTAGGCATTAGTTTCTAGAGTCTAGTACTGTACTTGGCAGTTTGGAGGAACTTAATGGTTAAAGGATATGTGGATAATGTGGATGGCTGAGTGAATGAAAAGAAAAATTGACAGAACTTGGTGGTTGAAGGGCCGAAGTTTTTGAGACATTGTAAGAATACACAGGAGAAATTGAGGGAAATATATAATGGAAAATTGAATGTCTCGTTCACATTATCAGCTACTGTCTTTTGGAAAGCAAACAGACGTCTTTATAGGTAAATCAAAATTATGCCAATATTCCCCATAACTTCAAGTATAGGAAATGCTCCAACTGAGTTATATAAACAGGAGATATTAATCATTTTAGGAGAGTTGAACTGAGACATTAGAATTTGGAGTTAAATATAGCCACCTAAATAATTTGCCTCTTTCTCTCTCCAGGACCACTATACTGAAATGATCACTATAATCAAAACTTTATTTAGTCTTTTACAATATGTACTGATTCCTTCAGGATCCAAAAATTGATGAGGGTGTCTCATGGTTCATAAAATCCTAATTAGGAATATTGATGTTTAAATATTGAGATTAATTGTAGGCAGGGAAAACAGTAGCAACTTAAGAAAAAAAAATGTAGGGAATGCAGAACCTTCAAATATTTAATTAAATGGTGAGACTTTGCTATTGAAACCCTTAAACACCAGTGAACTGAAAATAGAAGATGTTTAAATATTGAGATTAATTGTAGGCAGGGAAAACAGTAGCAACTTAAGAAAAAAAAAATGTAGGGAATGCAGAACCTTCAAATATTTAATTAAATGGTGAGACTTTGCTATTGAAACCCTTAAACACCAGTGAACTGAAAATAGAAAAAGTGGTTTTGGTCAGATAAGACAGTATGACACTTAGCAACTTCTCTGTACCCTCATTTTATCTTTCTGGAGGAGATGGAATACAATATGATCTTTATTAAACCCTTGGACTACCTTAAATACATTCAAGGCATTAAAAAATAATATCGAATGTTTGATGCTTACTCCAGTCCCTAAAAAGCAAATTAAAATTTAAATACTTTCCTCAAAACAAAAATGCCGTATTCAAGTTTCTCCCACCAGATCCGGTTTTGTCCATTAAATCTCCCTGGTATGGCAGATGGATTCCAGAAATTCAGCACTGACTTCCGGTGAAACATCTGCTGCATACTCAACCAAGTGGGATTTACTGTAGCACAAATTTGCAGTCCTCCTCTTGGCCACTGGTAGACTACTATCAGTTTGTAGCCGTATCAGCCAGCTAGGAGTGTGTTCCCTATACTTCTCAAGTCTTGGGACCCTAGGACTGTAATTTCAACATTTGCTCATTACAATTCAGGACTATCACTGATTTTTCAACTGTGGCCACCTTCTACTGTCAAAAACACTGGCATACTGCTCAAAAAATTTAAGTCAGTCTGCTTTTTTCAATGTAGAGCATCTTGAGAACATATTACAGAGAAAACAGATGCCGACACAGGAATGTAAATACATGCATTACAATCAACAAGATTGTAGCCAGGATGGGATTATAAAACCATATGGCTGTCCCCAGAAAATTCTGTCATGTAGAGAACAGACTAACGTAATTACCTACGTGGGTCTGACCTACACAAAGCAGTAGACCTTTGAGTAAGTGAAGCAAGTCTATCTGACCACCTTCCCATAGAACCTATGGAAAACAAATCAACAAAGCTAAACCCCTACAACACATTAAATGTATATTCATTTTTAGAAGCCTGAAAGAATAGAAGGATTACAAATAATTGTGAATTTTAGAGGCTTTTGTAATTTAAAAAGTTAACATAACAACTTTTGTGCTACGAAAAAGCAAAAGCACTCTGGACTCCACTCGAGGGAGAACTATAGAGCTTTTATTCCTTCTTTCATGACTTGTTTCTGGATGAGAGGAGCTTTAAGCATGCCCCATTTTTGGCTGTTCAGGCAAGCACATTCCTGTACTACAGTGAGTCCATCACTTACTATTAGGGATGCATGCCCCAATTCAAATCCACTCAAGGGCCGAGTACCTAAAAAGTCAGTTACTGCTTCAGGATATACTTGACAATTGTGCCAACTTTAATTAAACAGTTTACTCTCCTAAGTTTTCCATCTTAGAGTTGGCACATTTAAGTAAACCTATACGGAGCAAAGAATGATTTGGAGGAAGATGGTGAGGCCTCTGGAAGATAAATTATTTTCTTGCCTCTATTGGGCAGGATCCAATTCAGTGCCTCCACAAATGATCCCACGTTAATTTCCCTTACCATATGTATGCTAACTCAGTGATTCATAAGCTTGGCTGACCACCACCAAGACAAACACCATCTCAGCACGAGGGCCAAGAAACTTGTGTTTTCCTAAGTTCCAAAGCTGAGTCTCAGGCAATGAGCTCCTCACTGGCTTACTTTGGGAATGTTTGCACAAAACAGTGTAATGGAGCCTTTATGAATAAATGGTTTAGAGCAGATGAGGGAAAGGGCCACATCACAGACCTTCAAATGTAACCAACAAGATTCAGAATGCCAACACTGCATCTACTCAAAAGCAAATCTTATACTTTAATAATAAAAAAACACATCCACAGAAAAGCATGCTATTTTCCCTCTATTATATTAGTAAATATAATTAAAAAGCAGATTTTACTTCAAACCACTGGTTCTTACACCCAGGAACATACATCAGGATAACCTGTGAAGGTTTTAAAACATATTTAAGATCGAGCCTCAATCTTGGCAAAGGTTGCAACAGGGATCAGGAACCCAGTATTTTTAAAAAGCTCTTCAGTTAGCTCTATTTCCTTCTGGTTGACTCACTGATTTTAGGTCAACTGGAGCACTCTGAGTTTTGGGGCTATGGTTTAAGGGTGTGGGGGAGCTTCTCTTGCAGATTTATTAGCATTAGCGAAGAACTTGGCCTCTGGCTTTTTTTGAGTCTTTCTTGGGTCTTTTTTTCTCCGCCTCTTCTTTGATTTTTGGCTTCTTCCCTGGGCCTTTACCTGGGGTCTCTGAAGCTGGTAAGGCCTTCCTCTTCTTCCCACGAGGTTTGTTGGGATCAGGACTCTTTTTTGGAGACCTCTTTCCTGTGACATGTTTCTGCATCTAAGAAAAAGAATATACATCAGAATCACCTGTGATTCTGGGAGAAAAACAAACAAAAAACCTGACAGTCTAAATGTAGGAGTTACTGTTTTGATTAGTTAATCCCCAGAAGGTACACCTCAGCATGATGAAATGAGAGATGGCTTTTTCCTCTGCCATGCAAATGTTTTAAAAGGTAGCTGGATTCCATTATTAAGGACTGTCTTCCTGGTCCAGTCAGAGGAAAACCGTCTTTCCCTATGGTTCAGGAGAGGGACTCCTGGAAGCAACCCCTGGGAGGACAACAGAAAAACCCATGACCTAATCCTGACTCTTCTTCACCTTCAGTTGTAAATCCCTTGCATGTGGGTTATGGCTGAGGGTCCCCAATCCTGTGTGTAAAAACTTCGGTGCCTGTTAGAAAAAGCCACTTCCCAAAGTTATTTCAGAGGCTCTCAGAGGGCAGTGTGTCACATGCCAGGAGTCTAAGGTGTTCCAGGCAGGCCAGATGACTGCTGGTGCTGCTGATTCCAAGGACAACATTCTAGCAATGGACTCTGCCCAATATAGAAGCAGATGATAAAGACAAAAAACAACCAACAAAACAGAACTTTTTGTTTGTTTGTTTTTGAGTAAACATAAAACTATAGGATTTATTACTACGGAAAATTTGAACATAAACGAATATAAAAACAATACTCCCTAATAATCCCACCTGCCACACAGTGTTAACTATCTCTATTATTTACCTTTCCATGAGTATCTATTTAAAAGCTGAGTATTATGCCCTTTTCCCAATTATTTCATTAGTATTTTCCAAGCACTATACACCCTTCCTAAATGTATTCCTGATAACTTTACGGAACTCCTACGGCGAGGATAAATGACAGTTTCATTTTTGCTTCTGCAGTTAACAATTCTGAAACTGCCATGGATTACTACCCTAGTAATAACTGCTAGATGGGTTCAAAGGGTGTGAACACTTCTAGGGCTCTTGCTACACATCACCCATTCAGCTATGCTCTTCTACCCTTTCCTTTCTAACACATCACCAGCTAGTCCCATTATAACAAACAGCTTACTTTTTCTAAAAGTAATTATAGAGTTTACAGTTAATGTAATGACTGCTTATATTAATTTCAAGTACATTAAAAAAACTCAATAGAACGTTGGGAGCACTTTATTTTTTAAGCCTACAGCACCTAGTATTCCCAGATGGTCTCTCATCCAAGTACTAACCAGGACTGACCTTTCTTAGCTGCCAAGATCAGATAAGACTGGGCAGGTTCAGGGTGGCAAGGCTGTAAACTGGGTGAACTTAAAAAGAAATACTTTCACTAGTAGATGAAGACTTTAAGGGTTACTATTAGCATAAAATACAAAAATAGGTAAACTGCAGTTAACAGCCCTGGGACTGTGACATGGTCCACCGATTGAGGCTCATGCTCCACACCCTGGTAAGGTTCTGCCCAGAGAGGCCAGTGAGTCTTCTCTGAACACATGGAGAGGGACCTATTAACCTCCCTTATTTTCTAGAGATCATCCCCCAATAATTGGATAGATATTATAAGTATGAGTAAAAATATTACCAAAAAATCAAAAAATATATAAAACTCAGTTCCATTAAACTAACTTCTCTGAAACCTATGACGACAGATTTCTGTTAAGAATCATTGGAAGCAGGGTGCTGGAGAAGTTCTGGAGACAGGATCCAGGACCCAAGTATGCCTTGCTAAGTTTTCCAAAATTAATTATGGAAATTAATTTACAGGTCTTGCCTTCAGTAATGGAATAATATGCCCAAATTTACACGCTGGTCTGCTTTTTAAATCCATAGGCAATGTTTCTTTGAATTATAAATATGGTCAAGTCCCTTGACTCCAAGATACATAAAATATTGTTTACTATATACATCATTCCAACATTTATAAAATAAATCACAATAACCATCTTCACAGTTCTTGGGGTTTACCCTAGTATTTTTCATCATTCATCACTCAGTACAGTGACTGCCTGACACGTAGTGGCTACTGAACCGATCCCACTATGAATGTTAAATATTAATAAAATACCTCTACATTTTCTTTAGCTGGAGTGTTGCCTATTGGTACCAGTTGTGGAATTTCACCTTCGGATTTGTTTGTCACTTTCATTTGGGCCTTTACTCTGCCAGTCTTTTTCTTCTGGGACCCAGGATTCTTCACTGGAGCACCACTAATTTTAGATGACATGCCACTTTTAGTTTGGACTGACGCAGCCTTCCTAGCCTGTCGCCTTATTTTTTTGTTTTTCTTCCACCGCTGTTGTTTTTCAAGATATTTTCTTTCTTTGTGTCTTTTCTTTGCCGCCTACCAAAAGACATGACATAATTTTAGCAGAGAATACTTGTTGATAAATAGCATAGATTTAGCCTTGCAGTTCTGATTATTCATGAGCTCCCTGAAAGGGCTTTGACCTGTACAGAGAGAACAAACCCCATTACCAGCACTTGAACCTCAACTCCAGTTTGTTTCTGACTCATAGCCAAAGATGCATTTTACAATTTTTTAAAATTATTTTTGTTTTTGGTAGCTGGCCAGTACAAGGATTGAATCCTGGACCTTAGAGTTATCAGCACCACACTCTAACCAACTGAGGTAAGCAGCCAACCAAAAGATGTATTTTAAGCAGTAAATTATATATTGGTATTTCAGAATCTGGTTATCTGAAGTATGTAGTTGGTGATTTTGTGAGAGCCAATCTCATTCACAGGTGAGTAAAGAATAATCCTCAATTGTATGGTATGGTAAGTAATCTGTATCTCAATTAAAAAAAATCCTGACCATTTTTCCTAGCTCAGATTGGGGTTGAAAATTAAAACAGTAAAAAATTTGCACAGCTAGGGCCGGCCTGTGGCTCACTTGAAAGAGTGTGGTGCTGATAACACCAAGGCCTTGGGTTCGGATCCCTACATAGGGATGGCAGGTTAGCTCACTTGGGAGAGCATGGTGTTGACAACACCAAGGGTTAAGATCCCCTTACCGGTAATCTTTAAAAAAAAAAAAAAATCTGCACAGCTAGAGGTCCATTTTTGTTACAGAATACTGTTAAATGAAATCTATCCCTTGAGAGAATTATATTAAGTGAAACAAGTCAGGCACAGAAAGAGAAATACCACATGTTCTCACTTGGTGGGAGCTAAAAATAAATAAATAAATTCACACACACACAAAACAAAACTGGGGGCGGGGGGGAAGAAGACTTAACAACTACAATCCCTTGAAGTTGATACGACAAGCAAACAGAAAGGACATTGTTGGGTGGGAGGGGGGAGAAGGAGGGGGGATGGGGACTTCAGTAATGGGCCACAATAATCAACCTCATTGTATATCGACAAAATAAAATTGAGAGAAAAAAAAAAAAAAAAGAAATCTATCAGTGTGTGCAAATTCCATTTTAACCAACAACTCCAACTACTTCACAATGCCCTCAAGTGCATCCTCTGACAAATGACAAAAAATTCAGACTCCCTGTTTCCCATAATAGCAGTCTATATTATTTTGGATCATCCTCCCAATGAAAACAAGAAAAAAGCAAGGAAAAAAAAATATATATATATTTTTTTAAAGATGACCGGTAAGGGGATCTTAACCCTTGACTTGGTGTTGTCAGCACCACGCTCAGCCAGTGAGCCAACCGGCCATCCCTATATGGGATCCGAACCCATGGCCTTGGTGTTATCAGCACCGCACTCTACCGAGTGAGCCACGGGCTGGCCCAAGGAAAAATATTTTAAAAATGTTTTCCCTCCCATAAAATCACTGATGAGCTGATTATACTGCAAGAAATTTAAAATGAGAACCCACAGGGGTAAATGAGCACAGAAGGCATTTTTGGCCTTAAGAGTATTTGCTGATCCCTAACTTTTGTTTTAACAGCTGTGTAGGACTGGGGAGATTGAGGGATGAAGTGGAGAGAAATCAAATCCCAGTGTCCACACCAGGTAGGGATTTTAAGAAGAAACCCTTCTTACAGTAACCCAGGACCCCAGTGAGTTGCATCCTCATGGTAAAGATAAACAGGAAGCAGAGCCCAGGCAGATTTACAGCCATGGTTTGGTTTGAGTCATTAGGGGACCTCCAGCCTTGAATGTACTTTAAGATGTTTTTTGGCACCTCAGAGTGCCTGGCAGAAGTAAATGCAAATCCTTTGCAGGAAGGTATCTTCATCTGACACCTCAAATTAATCCTAAAATAATTTCTCAAATGCCATGATAAGGAACCAGCGGGTAGATACAATTGCCTGCAACATCAAGATTTCTACTATTTGGATTATTAGACATCTATAAAACAACTACACTTAACATGTTTAAAGAATTAAAACAAACCACAAGATTATTTATAGGTAATAGGAAACCAAAAAAAGTGACAAAGCCAACTTGAAAAAGAGCAAGAAACTTCTAGAAGTAAAAAAATAAAAATTAAAAACTCATTGGACATGACTGACATGGTTGAAGAGAAGAAACAAACAGGATATCAGTCTAACAAATAGCAAAAAATTGAATATTTTCTCATTCTGGCTTCTTTTTTGAGTACCAGTAACACAGAACACCTACAAACCAAAATCAAGAGGTATCTGTTAGCCTAATATAAATTTAAATTCCACCCATCAGTAACAGAGTAGTTAATAATCTAGATTTTGGCTTTCTTCATTCTCTCAGCTCCTCTTTGCTTCTGCACAGGCCCCTTCTCAACCTAGTTATCCCTTTTAAAACATATTAAAAATTACTATATCTAACTTATCAATAAACTCAAGACATTTCTATCTATCTTAACGTACTTTATTTATACCAATATTAACTAATCTCACATGTGAAGTGGGAACAATGAATGCAAAGACCACAGCTACTGGGAAACTAGCAAAAGACACCTGAAAAGTCAGGTAGGAACGGCAACTAGTTCTCTATTCTGGGGGCCAGGTTTACATGCTTGATTATTAAGCCACTCCAGTATTTAAAATTCTACTAACTTTTTCCTTCTCGTTAGAAATGAGTTTTCTGTTGGTTTCATCCTGAATGCTGACAAATGAGGAAAAGACGGGAAGGGCAACTGATTTCTCAGTTTTCACGAACAGGAGTTTCACGCTCTCCCACTTCTGAAACAAAGAAAAGAACAGTATCATTTATACATGTTTTGTTTCTTTTAAAGGAAAGATCAATTGATGCACCTGTGAGACTGTACCTCCGGCAATTTCTCTGAAAGCTTTTTCGTGACAGCAACGATGTTTTCAACGATGTGCTCAGTCTGCATTCCAGTGTGACCCACTCGTATAGAGCTGAAATTTAACACAGTATCAAACACAAGATTTTTAAAAATATTTTTTCAAAACAAAACACAGGCAGATAGGTGGGAACTATAATTACATAATTCGGAAGTATTTTTTAACAAAATAGAAATGTTAAAATCCGTAGGTTCTAAATATATTTTAAAGGAAGATTATCATCTTTCATGTTCCAGAAATTCCCTCCAACAAAACACAGGCAGATAGGTGGGAACTATAATTACATAATTCGGAAGTATTTTTTAACAAAGTAGAAATGTTAAAATCCGTAGGTTCTAAATATATTTTAAAGGAAGATTATCATCTTTCATGTTCCAGAAATTCCCTCCATCTGAAACAAGATGTCATATCACAGAGAGATGATTCAAGAGCTGGCACCTAACCATGTGAGGCCAGGAGGGTCAGTGAGCAGGGCAAGAGGAGGTTCTATCTTCCTCCTGGAAAACCCACAGGTTGCCAACTCCGAGACCTGTTCTGAGGGGAAATACCTCTAGGAGGGTCACCTGCTATTTTTATAGTTCTACTGCCCCAACCCAACTGCCACCTTCAAGACTACATAGTTCCCATCCCTTGCGTAATTCAGCTAGTGTCTCCTGGCTGAAGCAGAGTGCAGACATAAGCCAACGGGGAAGCCTAGAAGGGCCCAGTGTCTAATAAAAATGCCTGAGCCTCACTCATTCTCTGCCCACATACAGGCTGGGAAGCAATCATTGCCCCCAAAAGTCTATTCTGGTAACTACAGCTAGGTGTCGTGGCTCCATCTAGCTCAGTATCCTGGGTAAGACTAAATCAATGTGACAACACGGAGATACCAGACAGGCTAATGGAGCAGGATGAACACTGAATTTGTTTAAGAAGAAATTAAACCAGACTGAGGAGGATTTTCACTATATCTAGAGCTGCCATGTACAATATGGTAACCATCACCCATAGCTACATGTGCCTATTTAAATAAACTAAAATACTAGGCACTAGGCCCTTCAGGGCTTCCTCGTTGGCTTATGTCTGCACTCTGCTTCAGCCAGAAGACACTGGCTGAATTACACAAGGGATGAGAACTATGTAGTTCAGAAGGCAGCATTTGGGTTGGGGCAGTAGAACTATAAAAATCTTACAAAATCAAAAATTCTGTTTTCTCAGACACAGTAGCCACAATTTCAAGTGCTCAACAGCCACATATAGCTAGTTGCTACTGTATGCGACAGCACAGATATACACTATTTCCCTCACAGTAGAAAGTTCTATCCGACAGCACTGTTATTCAGAATCGATAACTTCTAAGGAATGGATTTTAGTTTGTTTTTTTTTTCCTTTTTGTCTTTTTTCGTGACCGGCAATGGGATCGCAACCCTCGGTGTCGCGCCCGCACTGCGCTCAACCAGTGAGCGGACCGGTCTCTATATGGGATCCAAACCCTCGGCGGGAGTGCCGCCATGCTCCCAAGTGCCACACTCGCACCGGGCCAGCCCTGGATTTTAGTTTTAACAGAAGAATCTGGTTTCATCAACACTACTTTTTAAAAAGCTTATAAAACCAGTAAATAAAACATTAGAAGAGGCACACATAAATGCCTTTTACTTACCTGCAAGAACCACTTTTAGAGATGTTCAAGACTGTTACACCTAAAGACCCATTGATTTCTTTCGATAAATTCTTGGCCTGAAGGTTTACAGACACTGGAACTCTAAAAAACATGTAAGCATTCAGAACACAATGCGTATATATGTATATATTTCATGCTGCTAAAGTCCATGCACTACTAAGAAACTTACTTCTTTCTTTGATAGAAATGTCTCCCTAAGTGTGAGGGTAAAAGCCGCCTAATTCTTGCATCAGTCAGGAAGAAGTCAAAACTCCCCAAGAGGCGGAGCTTGGCTTCATAGGCTTTATATTCCTTTTTTAAAGTTTGGAGGGGGATAATCTAGAAAACATAAAGAAGAGTAAAAATACAAAAAGAACCTGAATAAGGAAAAGAAATACTTCGGCAACAATTTGTATTTGAACTTTATGCAACCTTGTATTCAGATTTTAAAATGTCCTAGAGCCATGTCCCTCATAGTTTGGTGAAGATGTGAGCACCTAAAATGTGCCAGGCACTATGCTAAATACTGAGGACACTGAGACAAATGATAAAGAACCCAGCTGAAGAAATGCAGATTCAAGGGGTAATAAAGACAAGTACACCAACAACTACAAAACAGCAGGAGTCAAAGGCACACACAGATGCTCTAGAAATAAAGAGGAAAGGCATAATCAGCGACCATTTTTATAATTTGCAAGATATAAAAGTAACTAATGTACACATTTAGCTTTAGATCAACAAACTCAACAGCTCCTCCTTCACAGGGAAGATGGAACACACCAAGCCATTAAGAAGTAAAAAGAGAAAAATAGAAGAAAAATACTAGGAAATACAGCAATGTATTACTTATCACTTCAATTGAATTAAATCTTTTAAGTGACTTGAAAATATTAACCTGCTTCCCACCTGAGAAATGGTTTTAATTCCATGCTTCTTCAAAAGCTTTTTATAGAAAAGTTCTGTCTTTTCAGGAGTTGAATTGGGTTCGTCCTTAGTAAACAAACAGATTTCTGCTAAATCTGATAGAATACCATGAGGCAAAAACCTGTAAAATACAGAAGGAACCAAGAAGTACAGCATTACTACAGACAGTATGTATGTGTATATTATATAGAATACACAATAAATTTTACTTTCATTTTAATAACTTTCATTCATACCATTTAAGCAAATAGTGCACCAAGAACAACATTTAAAAATACTTCTAGTTTTCAATGGTATAGAGAAGAGATTTAAGATTCAAGTAAATCACCAGAAATACCCACAAGCCAAAATATCAGTTAACATTTGGATACAACATGAGTTAAAACATAATCGAAGACACCAAAAATACTGCATATGTCATAACTATTACTATTATACGTTGCTATGTGTTACACAAGTCTCTAATGTGCTAAATAGTTTCATCAGAACAGTCCTGAGTCCTGGTTCAGAACTTTACCTTCCAGAAAACTCTTAGCTCCAGAAACAACAAAACTCTTAGGAGATGAAACAGAAAACATGCAGCAAACCAAAAGGGAACAGCAAACATGCACTATTATTTTAAGTCTTAAAGAAAGAAAGAAAGAAAAAAAAAAGGTTTAACTCATCTCTTAGTCCTACATGTTCTTAAGAAACATTTCCTTAGTTAAGAGATAGCAACACACAGTAGCATAACTTGCCAAAATCAGACATTAAATGCTGTAAAGCAGGTAAATGGCAGAAATCAAGAGGTGACCAGTTGGGAAAATGTCCTAGGGAGGTAAGAAGGCTTTCCAGAAGGGGAAACTGCCCGAGCAAAGGTGCGGAATAAAGAACACAGGCAGAATATGCAGAACAATCAATAAGGCAATCTGGCTGGAGCAGGTTTGTGAAGACCAGTTAAGAAAGAATCTAAGCGTCTTTCCTATTTCCAACCATTCCACCGCCCCTATTTATGGGGAAAAAAGAAACAAGCTATCCTACACACCACTTTCCTAAGCAGAGCTGGCTTTCTGACAGTTAGGAAATCAGGGACTTGACAAGCAGGGTTGCCAGACAGAAGACATCCAATTAAATTTGAGTTTCACATCAACCATGAATTATTTTGTTAGTATAAGCAGGTCCTAAATATTGCATGGGACCTACTTATACTAAGAAATCGTCTAAATTTTTATTTGCTAACTGTGGTAAATCTAGATAGAGAGCATCTCTGACCTAAGATTCCTGGCAATAAGACTGTATAATCACAATGATTTATCTTCTACAGAAAGGAATTTATTGTCAAGTTTTTTCTTTTTCTTTCTTTTCTTTCTTTCTTTTTTTTTTTGGAGACCAATGCAGGGATCAAAACTTGGTGTTATCAGCTCTTGGCCAAGTTTTTTTTTTTTTTTTTTTGTCCTTTTTGTGACAGGCCGCACCATGGTCAGCCAGTGAGCGCAGTGAGCGCATCGCACCGGCCGTCCCTATATAGGATCTGAACCCGCGGCGATCTTGGAGCGCTCCCAGCTCCGCACTCTCCCGAGTGCACCACGGGCTCGGCCTTTGGCCAAGTTTTTTTTTTTTTTTTTCCTTTTTGTCTTTTTTCGTGTCCGGCAACGGATCGCAACCCCCAGTGTTGCCCCCCGCCCGGGCCGGGGCCGGG